AAAAATTAACAATAAATCAAAAGAAATGACCCAAAATCACTACTAAATAATGATAATTCCACTACTTAAAAAATTCATAAACTCTAAATGAATTATTTCAATATTTTCTTTATATCTTATAAATCTAAATCATTAATAAAATACCATCAAAAGTATCCTATCATAATAATAAAATTATTATTATAGTTGTTTATCAAATAGTAGGTATGAACATAAAAAATTGACACATTTTCCTTATAATTATGCTAGATAATCTTATAATTGTATGGAAAAATAAATTAAAACTCATTATACAAGGGCATTTTTGGGCATTCATTTAAAATTTTGACCAAGTCAAATATTATTTTAAGATTTTATTATTAAAACTATCAAATCAAGAGAGGTAAGTGTAATTTTTCAAACTTTAGAGGAGCTCAGTGAAATTGTCAAAAATCTCAGGGGAGGTTTTTGAAATTATCCCTTCACAAAAAGGTTCCACTGCTTCTTTGCACCTATAGAGGTGAATCTTGAGGATAAAAAACTGGTTTGGGAGGCAATTAAAAACCTACATCAAGATCACCTTCTAGTATTGCTATGACTTCTCTCATTGATGCACGATCACTTGTGTCATCTGTATTGCTGTCCCATTATGCTTCTTTTACATTCATTCCACTATTCTGGCATTTGATTGTAATCATGTACAGATGTACTCTTATGGAGAAAAAAAAGGTAAATGATTCTTTGTAACCAAAGACAAAAGATGGAAAATTTCGAATCAATTGTCATACAGATGTTTGATCGAAATGTGGTTATTAAACAATCTTTCATTATCACCTACAGATATCACATATGAATATATTAACTTGGCATTGTGATACATCAAGATCAGATCTTAATTAGTCAAGTGGTTGCTCGTGTTGAAGTGGCCTGTGTGGCCTCGTATTGAAGTGGCGTGTGTGGAAGGAATCTCAAGTCTATTGGCTTGGGAGGTTTTCACCTTCCAATAATAATAGACCTGTAGAATTCCACAAAGCAATGAATTTATGAGTCAACTAATGACTAGAATACTAAAGTTGATTAATTCCGTATTTTGCGGCCAATCCTTATAAATAAGAATAAGTTACCCGTTTCCTCAATTCAAGTCTAATTTTCAACTCTTTTTTTCCCTCTCTTCTGGAAGTTCCATCTTGACTTGAGTTCTGAGTGCTTGTTCTTGATTAATTTTTGCTTACTTTTTCCGTAGTTATTGTTTTGTAAGAATGATATATTCTTCTCGTTAGCCGCAATTGGTGGTAATATGAAAACCGAGTGCTATTGCATTCTATTTCGATATTTGTTCATGAAAAAACAAGAAAGTTTGCGGCCTACTAATTAATGGTGACAAGGAAAAGAAAGATTATATGAATATATGGCCTATCACAGTCCATATTAAGTCGTACTTTCGTCTAGTAGTAGTTTTGGGGTCCAGGATTGAAGAGGTCCGAAGAATTACGAGTCAATTGACTTGGTAGGTTTCGTTTAATAAACCAGTAGAATTCCACGAACGATACTTTAAAAGCTTATAAATTCACCTAGCAATGAAATCAAATACATACCACCAACCTGTGAATCAATTTTGCATTGGAAGTTTTAGAAGTGAGAAGAAAATGAAGCTATTTTATTTCTTCATTTTATTATCCTGGATGAATTTATGTGATGCCTCAAGCAAGAAGATTCAGGTCAGGAAAACGCTGAGCAGTTCAAAGAAGATCCCTGTCAAGTCCATCAAGGTTATTCCTTCTTCGCTCACTTTAATATTCATGGTGCCTGTGTTCATGTTCTTGTGTACATCTACGTACTTGTACTTGTTTAAATTCTTTTTTTTCTTCCAATTTGTTGTTCTTGTACACGTTTTTCTATGTCTTGTTCTATTTTCTTACATTACTAATTGAAATATTTAAGTGCTCTGTCCACACTTTTAGGACTCAACGTACATGACTAACTGATGCATGATTGTTTTCAATGGCAGAGCCCTGATGGTGATATTATTGATTGTGTCAACATTTATCATCAACCAGCGTTTGATCATCCTTTGCTAAAAAATCATACCATTTTGGTGAGACTTTCTATCCACCAAAAAGCAAGACAAGGGAAAAATCTCTACAAGTAAAAATTTTATGTATTTTTTTGCACGTTGCAGATGAGGCCTAGTTTGCAGCCTCGGAAAGGACCAATTGGTGGGGGTGAACTATTCCAATCCAATGCTCATGGCCAAGAGGATAAAAAACCAATTGCTCAGTTATGGCAGTTGGGTGGGAGATGCCCTGAAGGAACTATTCCTATTAGAAGAAACCAGAAAGCAAGATATGCAAAGAAGGAGCACAGAAACTTTCCCCAGCTCGCTGGCTTTTCCAATCACGAGGTACCCTAAACAACTGGAAATTTGCTGTGTACCACAAAACAATACGACTCTTGTAGAATTTTTTTTTTTAGGTGTTGATATGCATGACAGAATTACTTGAAACATCTACTCATACTATATTTTTGCTAGAATATTGTAGCAACACACGCATGCATGTGTCTGCTAATTTTCCTTTGGAGTATTATATATCAAAATTCCTTTAACAGGAAGGTAATTTTTGAGTTTGTTTAAATCTCACTCATTTTTAGCTTATTAATTTTGTCGATTTCTCATTTTCTTTTTTCTTCAATTCTTTAGCATGCATTTGCATATGTCCAAAGTAACAAGTATTTGGGAGCAAAGGCAACAATAAGCCTTTGGCAACCCCAAGTTCAGGGCAGTGGTGAATTTAGCTTGGCTCAAATATGGGTTCTTGCCGGTGCTAATTCAGATCTGAACACCATTGAAGCTGGTTGGATGGTACTTCTTCCCTATAATAAATACATCTGGCCATGCATGTGTCTTGAACTTTATTGTCTACTTATTTCTTTTGTATAATAGGTATTTCCAAGTCTCTTTGGAGATAGCAACACAAGACTTTTCACTTACTGGACTGTAAGTCACAAAATATTATCAATCCTAATGCATATATAATATGTTTGCCTGAATCTAAATTTTCATCATATGTCTATCAAAATTTGGTCATGCTAACAGAGAGATGGCTATCAAACTACTGGGTGCTACAACTTGCGCTGCCCTGGCTTTGTTCATACCAGTAATTCAATTGCATTAGATGTTGCCCTTTCACCAGTTTCTACCTATCATGGTGCTCAACATGAAATCATCCTACAAATCTTTAAGGTAATGACAGCCAAAATGGATTAAGGGCATCTTAGTACAACATAACCCTAATTTTTTATTTTCTGAGATTTGAAAAAACTCATAATATAGTGGTATAATTTTGTTTAGGACCCAAAGCAAAATGTGTGGTGGCTACAACACGGGAATGACGATGTAATTGGTTATTGGCCTGCTTCCTTATTTACAGACCTAGCAGACAGTGCTTCACTAATTGAATGGGGTGGAGAGATAATAAATAATGCTCAAGGTGGGCAACACACCACAACTCAAATGGGCAGTGGCCATTTTGCTGAAGAACAAGCTGGAGGGGCAAGTTACTTCAAGAATCTTCAAGTAGTTGATCAATCCAACACCTTAGTCCCTCCTGGTGATATCACTACCGTATCTGAGAAGCCGAATTGCTACACCATAGTATCTGGAAAGAGTGATGATGCCGGAGATTACTTTTACTTTGGTGGACCAGGAAGAAATCCTAAGTGTCCATGACCAAAAGATGCAGAAATCTTGATATGCGAGAGGCAGAATCTTGCTATGCATTTGATCATCTGAATACAGAAATTGATTACATTTCTTTAGGCATTAAATCAAATTGTAGAAGGCAAACAATGCCAAAGCAATACACATATTCAGAAGCAAGAAAAATCAAACTGTACTACTCTATTATCATCATAATATTTACCTGTATGCCTGAATAAATAACCTTTCTTATTCTCAAGCTCCTCCTTGTCTTTCCATGTCATATACGCCTAAGACGTAAAATGAAACCAAATAACGTCCATGATAAAATGATAGAGAGTTACCAATGGAGAACTAGATTGTTTCCTTTATTAATTTTTGGTACTCAATTGCTCGGTATCCAATATGGTTCAAGGAATTTTATTCAAACTGAACCATCAAATCCTGTCATCAAGTCTTAGTGAGGAGGTGATGTCCTTCAAAAACTAATAACCCCATGCAGATGTTCTTTCTTCTGGACTGAAAAATCGAATGTGATAAAATAAATTTCTAAGTTGTTCAGTTTTTGTTGGATTAACCGGTTTTTTTTTTTCTCCACTTCCCGTCATATGATAATTCAACTTTTCTACTTGCAAATAAACTTTTTATAGTTATCGAGAGATTGTTGGAGCAAATACGGTCCAGTAACATATACATGGAGGATCCATTGCTATAAAATTGAAAATTTCTTCCTTAAAGAGAAAAATGATTCGTTGTAACCACTTTCGTTTTCTTTCCGCATCTTTACAGGGAAATGAAGATAATTTTTTTCAATCACTTTGCAACCTAACATGCTGCATTCATGTATGAGATTCAAATGTTATCTTATTCATTCCATGTTCTATTGCCAAATTAAATGCCAATATCCTGCTTTAAACTGTATTTCCATTTTTGCTGGATATGATGTTTTCAGCTGTCTGAATTTTCTTGAGGAACGAATCCATTATCTGGAGATGTGTTTGTGGCTATGTAGCATACTGGATCTCGTATGTCTTACTAAAAGGTTAAAAAAGCAAAATAGTTTTTTATTAACAATTGTAAAATCCATTTCGTCTTACCCCATTATTTTCTTTGTTTATTTGGAAAAATTTTATGATACATTTTAGTATTTCGGTTATTAGCACTATATTTATTTCTTCTTTGGCTGTCCAAATATATTTCGAATTCTTGCTTTGATGCATAAATTAAAAGAGTTGCATCTTTTGATTAATTGTTTAAGTTCCATGCATTGTAACTCAAATTGGTTAAGTAACTTTCAGCTGCACAGATGAAAATGAATAAACGAATGAACAAGGATGATATCTGGCAAAATGTTCCGTTGAAGTATTATTCATTGTCTCTGAAGGTGCAAAGAACATAGTTCAAAGACAACATGGTGCATCTATGCAATTGAAATGTATACCTAACTAGAAACTAAATATCTTCTTTTACATTATATCAAGTCAAAGATACGTAATTAAAAAGGAAGTAAAACTCGAGATATGAAAGTAGAATAAAAAAATGTCTCACCATAGTGCGGAAAATAATAATTAGCAAATTATACATACTTTGATGAAATTACAACAATTGAGCAAGAGTCCAACAGATTAAGTTATCAATTTAAAATATATTTCATTGTTATATGTAGAAATTAATCTTTAAAAGAATCATTCAAAATGTCTCTCACCTTTCGTCAAATGAATATTATCATCCTTTACTGTTAAAATAGTAAATTTACATTTCTTACAAACTCAAGTCAATAAATTTTGGTTTTAACTTAGATTTTTGATCATTTTTTACCTTGTAAAATGGCTGCATAGCTTAATTACACTGAACCAACATTTTTAACTGTGATTTGAGATAGTTATATAGTGGATGGATTTTTGTTAGGACCAAAACTGGGCGTGTGGTGATTACAATATGGAATGACAGTCACAAAGTGAGATTAATAATGTTCATTGGGCTACAAACTTCAGACTAGGAGACTTAACTTTAGGATTTTCTTTTTCTATAGGCAAGATATGCGCCTCATTGATAAACTAAGTAGATTTCCTTTTTATATTAAAAAAAAGGTAAAATGGCAGATTGATTATCTCATGTCTCTTGACAGAGAAAATTGTGCTTACACGACCATTTGCATTTGCTAGAATTCCTATTGCACCTGTACTGATGTTTAAGAGTGGAGTTTATTTATATTGTTTTTATAATTGTTATCATATATGTGTCTGTCTGTATCTGATTATATATGCCTAGAACTATATCCATCAACCTGTGCTAATGTTGAACTAGTAATGAGATTCTAGGGATTTATTCACGTTCATTGGATATATTTATCACTTAACTTACTTTAATTAGAATCGACAATCGTTCCAAAAAGAGTAACGATTTCAACTTTTTCTTTTTTTTTTCCCGATAGAAACCATCATTTTATTCATATGATCCGCACTAATGGTGGAAAAAGTAATGGTTTCAACTTTTTAAATATTCCTTTTGTTCACAGTTTATTCTTCTGTAGATAATGTTTTTTTTTTTTGCTTTTCTAAAATTGTGAAGTTTCGATACATATGGTGCAGTCACTTGAAACAACGACTAAAGTATATTATATATGTTTATGTTACTATTTTCTTGTTACACATACGTAGATATCTATCTACATATATTTAGTACTCTTACTTTTTGAGTGTATTAAAATTTGAAAAAGTTTTGGCAACTTTGTAGGAGTGAATTCTCATTAGATGATGGTAATTGAAGCATTTTGAAGAATTAATCACAAAAAGCTCCCCTCTTAAATTTTGCGAATATAATCATCGATTGAATTTAAATGAGACAAAAACTTAAAAATTTAAGATGCAAAGTGTTTAAAATTAAGAATTTATGGTGTAAAATACCTAAAATTAAAGTTTAAAATACAAAGTAAAAAAGTGATATAAGTTTAGAAATGCAAAGTGGAATCAGTCAGCCCTTATATTTTCTTTCTCACTTTGCTTCCTTTGTTAATAAAACTCATCAATACGACCAAAATGCCCTTGTCACTTAAACCGCTAAATTTGAGAAAAGTACCTAAATTTGACAAAAGTACCTATAGGCACAGTATATTAAAAAACGAACTTAGAAGCTTTCACAGTCAAACCCAACGTGTTTCTCCCTTATTTTTTTCTAAGTATACAAAAACTCTATATACACATGCACATACGTACGTGCATACATACATATATATAAAGTGGATGCTCTAACTACTAAAAGAAATACAAGAGCACCCATATGCACATTTTTTGGTTCCAAATTCTTGGAAAGTGAGGCTGACCGTTTCTAGGCTTTTATAGATTTTTTTTTTAATCTATTTTCAAATTTTAATTTTTTAGATTATGGTTTTCTAGATTTTTTTTCCCTTTTCACATGAAATAAGCAACACGTTGCCTTCATCTTGGAAAAGTGTAATCTTGGGACAAAATTTAACTAAATCCAAATCCATGAGTATATTATTCTATTCATAGTATAATGTAATAGAAAATTCTTCGGACATTATTTGTCATGAACGTTATAAAATATTAGAGTTCAATAATGTTCTTGCAGTTAAAAATAGAAAAAAAAAAAAAAGATGACTTTAAGGGGTAAGTACAAAAAACACACTACACCTGGATCAACTAAATTATCCTAAGTAAAAATATTATTCAAAGGTGGCCATTATGTAAAGTTAGAATTGACTAATGATCTTGGGTCTCACAAAGTTAGAAACAAACAATTATGTTAGAGAATAAAGTGAGAATCATGTTATACCTTGGAGGGATTTCTTCTCTTTTCTTTTTATTGTAATTTGCCCCTCATTGAATTGATTTTTTTCTTCTTTTAATCTGAATTTCTCATTTTTTTTCTTTTTTTACTTGTAGTCTCATCTTGTTGTATATTTGTTTTCTTTTGCAATTGTGTAGTATGCAATTGCATATGTTCAAGGTGACAAGTATCATGGAGCAAAGGCAACAATAAACGTTTGGCAACCCTACGTTCAGAACAGAATTGAATTTAGCTTATCCCAGATTTGGGTTGTTGGAGGTGGTGGTTCGAGTACCAACACCATTGAAGCTGGTTGGACGGTATTGCTTCTCTATAATATCAGTAACGTAGTATTCATCTTGTTTGTGAGTTGTAAATATGTAGTTATTTATCTCATACTATATGGTTTGCTTACTTCAATTGTTAAAATAACAGGTAGACGCTGATATATTTGTAGACAACAAGCCAAGACTTTTCACTTATTGGACTGTAAGTGAAACACTATTTTCCACTTAGTATGTTTGGGCAATCAATTTTTTTCAATGCACACAACTTCTGCTTACATAAGTTTGAATATAGGGTTAATTACATTTACCTCCCCTGAGGTTTGACCATATTACCAATCAATCCCTGTAATTTGTCCAAATAACGGTCTCACCCTTTGAATGATCAAACATTTAACAAAAACCCCCTTAATGCTGAAAATGCCCTTATTGAGGCCATGTTGCATTAAAAAAAGAATATATTTTTATTTTATTAACTCTGAAGTAATCCAAAAAAATAGAAAAAAAGTTTTTGCTTATTATTTTATAAAAACCATATCTTTACTTCCATAACTAGTTTTGAATCAATAATTATTTTAAATCTTAAAAATGAATATTAAAAATTAGATAAATTGAAAGAAAAATAAAAAAGAAGCAATTATTTTAAATTCTCAAGTATGGTTCGAATTTGTGGTTCAAGGCATGTTGCGGAGAGCACAAGACATGTTTTCCTCAATTTGAACCATACTCCAGGAATTAAAATAATTTCTTCTTTTTAATTTTTCTTTCAATTTATCTAATTTTTAATATTCATTTTTAAGATTTAAAATAATTATTGATTCAAAACTATTTATGGAAGCAAAGATATGGTTTTTATAAAATAATAAGCAAAAACTTTTTTCTATTTTTTTGGATTGCTTCAGGGTTAATAAAATAAAAATATGTTCTTTTTTTAATGCAACATGGCCTCAATAAGGGCATTTTCGGCATTAAGGGGGTTTTTGTTAAATGTTTGATCATTCAAAGGGTGAGACCGTTATTTGGACAAATTACAGGGATTGATTGGTAATATGGTCAAATCTTAGGGGAGGTAAATGTAATTAACCCTTGAATATATAAGGGGAGGGATGGGTCGGGTGGTTCAGGAGAAGGGAGTATAAATGAGAAATCTCAAATTCAGGTCCTTTCACTTATACTTAAAAAAAATTTTAATTCTATATTGGTATCACAGATATGTACTAAAATCTGGTTGCTGTAACAGAGACATCATTATGGATCCACTGGATGCTACAACGTGGGCTGCCCTGGCTTTGTTCAAACCAGCAAAAAAATGGCCTTGGGGGCCAACATTTCCCCTGTTTCAACCTACCCTGGTCCTCAATTCGATATCAGCCTCTATATAGTGAAGGTAACAAATGAAAACCAGATTCCGACCTGGATTTTTGGTTAAAAGTATTCATCATCTCACAATGAGACTTTCTGCTCTTGTCATCTTCGTTCTCCCTTTTTTTTTTCTTGCATTTTCTTCGCCAGTTACTTGCTAAAACAAATCATTTAAAAAATTTGTAGGACAATTGTAGTTTCTTGCATGGAGATGCAGCTGAGCTGAGACGTAGTAGGTCTGGACTTTATTGTAGTTAATGAATTCTCATTATACTATTTGATATTACTTTGCTATGTAAAATTGTAAATATACTAATTGTTGTCCTCGTTCACACAATTAAAATAGCACGAGATCCTCTTCATTACTTTTCTCTCCATTTATCTATACAACTAAATTATTTTTTTTTAAAAAAATCTTTTTGTGTCAATAATTTTATTTCCACAAGTAGATCAACATACTCAAAAATCAAACTCATCTATGAACCTTAATCGACTTGCTATTTGCAGAGGTCCCATCCTGGGCCTAGACATGTGGCAGCTCAGGAGGGTCAGAGTTGGGCCTGGACCCCCGGGCCCCTGACAACCGTCCTGGGGCACACCGTCACTAGGGTTTCGAAGGGCTCCGGGAAACAATCCCGCAGAGGGTGGGGAGAATCCCCCTCAGCGAGGGATTGAAGCTATATTGGGTAAGTCCCGAAACGTATAGAGGTCGGACTCTCGAGCAAGTATAAATGATAACGCACACCAGTTACACAAGATACGCTCACTATTGGCAAAACACCCCGACTGTTTTATTTCCCGTGAATCTCACTCACCGGAAAACTAACTTGACCGTCGGAGTGCCCACGGGGACCACCTCGGGGCCCCCCTGTTAGACCACTCTCTTGTTCGCTTTGCAGGCTTGGGACACGCTCTTCTCATCAGCACGCCGAGCTCGTCAGATCAGCTCGGTGGTCGGGAAAGCTCAGCGCTTCTTCAGTTGGCGCTGTCTGGGAACCAAAAGGTAAAGTGTAGTCGTGTTGATGGCGAGAACGCGTTCCAAGCGAACCATGGAGACCACCGATTCTGGAGCAAGCGAGGGATCCCGGCGAAGGGAGACCCGAGGCTACACGGGACGCCGGGATCTCAGCCCTTTCAGGGAAACGGAGACAGCAGATCCTTCAGTTCGTATCGGAGAACTTCCCCATGCTGGAAGACATGATCCGACAAGCGAAGGAGGGAGGTGAAGCCGGAGGCGCGCAGATCTCCAAGGCGCAGGGGAAGGAGAAAGAATCACCCCGACCCCTCGGAAGATGAGTCCCGAGACCAGCCTCTCAGGAGGAAACGGCTACGGACTCTCCCTCGCGCACGGGCCTCGATGGTCGGGGATAGCGAGAGGTACTCCCGCGACCGGTCCGCTGGGGCCGACCGAGAAACCCCTCCCCGCGGAAGCCTGGGTGGAACGAGCCTGAGCGCTCCCTCGACCGATCCGTCAAAAGCCGGCCGCGCAACCTTCCCCAGTGGAAGCCTGTTAGAGACGAACTCGAGCAGATCTTGCGGCCGCAGTTGTACGAGGACAACTATACCACCTCGCCCTTTACCCGAGAGATAGAGGACTACCCACTACCCCGGATGTTCAAAATCCCGAACATTGAGTTGAATGACGCTTCAATCGACCCGGAAGACCACCTCTCGGTCTTCTTGACGCACATGCGTCTGCAAACAGCCGCGGATGAAATCTGCTACAAAACCTTCCCCATGTTTCTGAAGGGAAATGCTCGGCTCTGGTTCCAGGATCTGGCACTAGGGTCTATCCGAAGTTTTCCCGAACTGGCTAAGCAGTTCGTCGCCCAATTCGTCTCTTCGAAAACTTATTCGAAGAACGTGACCCACCTGATGGCGATCAGGCAGAAGTCGGACGAGTCACTGAGGAATTTCATGACCCGCTTCAACACGGAGAGCCTGCAGATCAGGGACAAGAACGAAAAGATGGTCATGGCCGCCTTCATGAACGGGTTCAGGGCAGAGGAACTCTTCTACAAGCTAGCCGAGAAGCCTCCCGGAGACCTGGAGGAGTTCTTGACCAGGGCGCACGCGGCCGCTAATGTAGAGGAGGCGGCCCGCCTGAAGAGAGAATCAGATCGGGAGCTCGGAGATCGGAGAGAACAGGGAAACCCCCCGAGAACAAGGATGGACCGGCCAAGAAGAACGTCTTTGACCGGCTTTCGAAGGAGAAAGCCCCGTTCCGCCACTGCTTCCGGAGAAAGGCTACACCCCCTGACTCGGCCCCGAGCCCAGATCCTAGCCGTCATGGAGGCGGAGGGCCTGGGAGAACGGCCGCCTAAGATGGGGACGCCTCGCAAAAAACGGAACCAGAACCGGTACTGTGCCTTTCACCGTGACGTCGGGCACGACACAGAGGGGTGTTGGGCCCTGCGGAGAGAGATCGAGGATCTGATCCAGCGCGGCTTCTAGGGACGATTCGTGCGGCAAGGTCGTCCAAGCCAGGAGCCCGGACGCACCTACCGCGGAGACAGGGGCGAGGGCCAGTGTCGCAACCGCCCTGAGCGGCGCGACGTTCCTCTGGGAAGCTCCCCCGACCAGGACATCCAGAACTTAGCGGGGGTGATAAACACCATCGCTGGGGGCCCCACAGGGGGGGACAACCATGCAGTTCGGAAGAACAGGCGACCTCCCCCCGAGGGGGATGATTCACTGAAGCGCTTGCGCATGGACGAGGAGATCACCTTCGGGCCAAGGGATGCAGTTCCCCTAGCGTCGGGGAACCACGAGGTCATCGTGATAGACGTCGTCACCAATAACTATCGAGTGAAAAAGGTGTACGTCGACCAAGGGAGCGCGTGGACATCCTGTTTTACCGGGTGTTCAAAGAGATCGGTCTGGAGGACGGACAGTTGACCCCGGTTCGGACACCCCTGGTGGGTTTCACCGGACCACCTATCAATCCGGAGGGAATGATCACCCTGATGGTCACGGTAGGGCAGGCTCCCAAATGCCGAACCATCCCTGTCAATTTCGTGGTGGTCAAGCAACAATCCCCATACAACGTGTTCTTGGGTCGGCCCGCCTTGAACGCCCTCTGAGCTATCCCTTCTTTTCTCCACCTCAGCGTCAAATTCCCCACACCGGAAGGAATCGCCGAGGTGCATGGAGATCCGAAAGTGGCCAGAGCTTGCTACCTAGCCATGCTTCGGGGACAGGAGAAGGTGGTCGCCCAAACGACCAGCTTGGAGCCCTACATTCCGGGGGAGGAGGTCCAGCAGTTGAGAACCCAGGACGAGATCGAGGAGTTCCCCCTGAGAGAAGATAGGCCTGACCGGGTCCTCCGCATTGGCGCGTCGCTATTCTCCGAAGAAAAGGAGGGTTTGAAGACCCTGTTAAGGGAATACTCCCAGATCTTCACATGGACGGTTGAAAACATGCCCGGGATTCCGACTGACCTGGCCGTCCACCACTTCAACGTGGATTCTCGCTTCAAGCCGGTGAAATAGAAGAAGAGGAGTTTCGTCCTAGAAAAGAATGAGGTGATCAGGAGGGAGGTCGGCAAGCTGCTGGAATCCAAAATCATTCTAGAAGTGTATTACCCGACCTAGTTAGTTAATCCCGTCTTGGTCAAGAAGGAGGAGCAGTCCTGGAGGATGTGCGTGGACTTTACAGATCTCAATAAGCCCTGCCCGAAGGATTGCTTCCCCTTGCCGAGGATCGACAGGTTAGTAGACGCTTCTGTGGGTTTTGACGTTTTGTGTTTCTTGAATACTTTCAAGGGATACCACCAGATAGAGATGGCCGAAGAAGACCGGGAGAAGACCTCCTTCATCACTGAGGAAGGAACTTACTGCTACCGGAACATGCCGTTTGGGTTGAAAAATGCTGGAGCTACATACCAGCGCCTGGTCAACAAACTGTTCCAAAATCAGATCAGCCGGAGCATGGAGATCTACGTGGACGACATGATCGTCAAAAGCCGGACTGACCAGCAGCTCATCCCGACCTGAGGGAGACCTTGGATATCCTATGGGAGAGCCGCATGCGACTGAACCCGAAGAAATGTACCTTCGGAGTTAGGTCAGGCCGGTTCCTAGGATTTTTGGTGTCCCGAGAGGGGATCCGGGTCAACCCGGATAAGCTCCAGGCCATCATGGACATGGCCCCTCCAAGGAGCATAAAAGAGGTCCAGGGCTCACGGGAAGGATGGCCGCCCTGAATAGATTCCTCTCGCGCTCCGCGGTAAGGGGGTTACCCTTCTTTCGAATCCTGAAAGCACCCAAGGACTTTCAAGGGACCGAGGAATGCTAGAAATCCGTCGCTGACCTGAAAGCATATCTGGCCAAGCTACCCACCTTGACCGCTCCGGAGTAGGGGGAAATCCTGTTCCTATACTTGTCCGCCTGCAGCGAGGTCATTAGCGCGGTTCTGGTGCTGGAAGATATGGGGGCTCAGAAGCCAATATACTATGTCAGCCGAGCTTTACAGGAGCTGGAGACGCGGTACACGCCGACAAAAAAATTGGTTCTCGTCCTGGTACACGCCGCCCAGAAGCTCCGACCTTACTTCCAGGCACACAGCATTGTTGTCAGGACCGATCAACCCTTACGACAGATACTCACAAGACCTGAGGTCTCAGGCAAGACGACCAAGTGAGCCGTTGAGCTGGTCGAGCACGACATCGGCTACCAGCCTCGTATTGCTATCAACGCTCAGGCCTTGGCAGACTTTCTTGCTGAAGGAGCGAGTTTGTCCATGGCTGAGTTGAGCTCATTGCCCAAGCGCGTACGGCCGGAAGAGCCGTGGGTGTTATTCGTGGACGGGGCCTCGAGTAAGGAGGGAAGCGGAGCCGGCCTGCTGCTCACCTCGCCCATCGGGGAAGAGCTGACCTACGCGCTCAAATTCGACTTCCCGGCATCCAACAATGAGGCCGAGTACGAAACCCTATTGACGGGACTGCGGATAACCCACCAGATGGGTATAACCGCGATCAAAGTCCGGAGCGACTCGCAACTCGTAGTCCACCAAGTCCGCGGGGAGTATGAGGCCAAGGAGGACATCATGAATAAATACTTGGCTAAGGTACGGGAGGCGATAGCCCTGTTCGATATTTTTGAGATCGAGCGGGTGCCGAGATCATAGAATAAGTGCGCTGACGCCCTGTCGAAGCTGGCGTCCTCCTCGTTCGCTCACCTGAGCAAGGAAGTGTTGGTGGAGGTAGTCAAGCATAAGAGCATTGACCAGAGTCAGGTCTTGGCTATAGACAGCCCGGCCTCCTGGATGACTCCCCTTGCGGACTTCCTCAGCTTGGGTGTCCTCCCCGAAAACAAAATCGAGGCTCGCCGACTCCAGCTCAGAGTTGCCAAGTACGCCTACTCTCGGGGGACCCTCTATAGAAGGTCGTATTTGTCTCCCTGGTTAAAGTGCGTAACCCCTGAGGAAGGCGACTATGTCCTCCGCGAAATTCATGAAGGCTTATGCGCGGCACATGTGGAATCCCGAGTTTTGGCCAAAAAATGCCTACTCATGGGCTACTATTGGCCCTCCGTGTTCCAAGATGCCGCGGCGCTAGTCCAGCAATGCCGAGCTTACCAAGTGCACGCCTCGCTGCGTCACCAGCCAACACAAGAGATGGTCCGCATCCATAGTCCTTGGCCCTTCGCCCAGTGGGGAATAGATCTCTTGGGGCCTTTTTCCCGAGTTCCCGGGAAATACGAGCACCTCGTGGTGGCCATCGATTACTTCACAAAATGGATAGAAGCGGAGCCTTTAGCCACTATCTCGGGAAGAGCAGTCCAGAAGTTCTTTTGGAAGAACATAGTCTGCCATTTTGGGATTCCGCATGTCTTGATATCTGACAATGGACGACAGTTTGCTGAAACCCCTTCAGGAGCTGGTGCGCCAAGCTCGGGATCAGCAAGCACTTCACGTCGATCAGTCATCCCCAGGCCAACGGTCAGGTAGAGAATGTTAACCGAACCATTCTCCAAGGGTTGAAGACTAGGTTGGAACTAGTCCAGTCTAACTGGTTAGATGAACTCCCTATTGTCCTCTGGCCTACCGCACCACTCCGAGGACTGCCACTCAGGAGACCCCGTTTTCCCTGACTTATGGGGCAAAAGCGGTGGTGCCGGCGGAGATCGGCCTCCCCTCGCTTCGGACACATAACTTCGTTGCGTCAACCAAAGAAGAAGAGTTGAGGTGTAACTTGGACATATTGGAGGCTAAGCGTGAGGAAGCGGCGATACGGATGGCTAAGTACAAAAGCCAACTCGCCCGCTATCATAACGCAAAAGTGAGAAACACGCAGTACCAGCCAGCAGACCTCGTCTTAAGAAAGAACTCCGTCAACCGAGCCCATAGTTCCAATAAGCTCGACCCAAATTGGGAGGGGCCGTACAAGGACCTGGAGGCGAGCCGAGCTGGGTACTGCAGGCTTGCGAAGCTAGATGGAGCGGAAGTACCTCGCACTTGGCACTTCTCGAATCTACGGTTGTTCGTAGGTTAGATTGGGTTAGGGTATCTTACTGTCTATTCTTCAGAATTCGCATACAAGTTCGTCATTAAATAAACGCTTGACTTTGAACCTTCCTTTTATCAACATCATTTAACTTTTAAGTTTAGATCCTACACTAGCACACTCAGACAATGCTAAGTGTCCTAGTGGGGGGCCCGATGTCTTTAAAGTTTGAGAGTTGATGCTCGACCCAGGAGGTCGGCATGGCTTAAAGGAGTGTCTTTAAAGTTTGAGAATTGATGCTCGACCCAGGAGGTCGGCATGGCTTAAAGAAGTGTCTTTAAAGTTTGAAAATCGATGCTCGACCCAAGAGGTCGGCATGGCTTAAAGAAGTGTCTTTAAAGTTTGAAAATCGATGCTCGACCCAGGAGGTCGGCATGGCTTAAAGCTTTGAAGTCCGAAAGTTCACACCGTGAATTAGTTTGATGCAGTTTGTTAAAACCTGAGGGCCTGACGCTCGACCCAGGAGGTCGGCATGGCTGCCTTTACAATTTGATGCTCGGCCCAGGAGGTCAGCACGTCGCCTTGGCGAATTGGTTTGATAGTTCGCTAGTCCCCTGGTCTGCTGCCTTCGACAATTTAGTGGCTAGCTTAAAGTCTGATAAATGCTCGACCCGGGAGGTCGGCATATGGATTTGATTGCTAGAGTTTAGCGCAGGCGAGAATTGCAACTCGAGATTAAATAATTTCATTCAAATTTCGTATATACAACCTATCTATCACAGAACCTACTGGGATATATAAAAGGAAAAAAAGAGATGTACAGCTCAACCCCCGAGAGACCCCTCAGCCGCCTAGGCCACCGGCTCCTTCCCGGGAGCTCTGCCGGGAGTTTCGCCCTCCTCCAAGGGAACCTCCGCCAGGTCGGCTCCTACGTCGCTCCTGCCCACCAAGTCCTTCAGGGAATGCCCCTTGCAATACACATCGAAGAGCCAGTCCAGCTTCTCCTCGGTCGCGGGATTGTAGTCCTTGAAGTCAGCCAAGTTGAAGCCAAGCAGGTTAAGGCCCTTCATCTGGTCAAGGGCTTGCGTGAAGCCAACCTGGAGGATGGGTTGGTTGAGGAGGTCAACGTCTTCGGCAAGCTGTTCGGGAGTTACTGTTCGAAAGAGATGAACTCCCGAACAGCCTTCTTGCACTCCCCGCTGACGGTGCCGGAGAGTTCAATAGCATGGTCCTCCCTCAACTTCGCCATGCCCTTCTTCTCCTAGTCCAGCTCGGACCAGGCGGATGTGAGCTATACTTGGGCCGCTTCCAACTCTTTCTCGGCCTTGCCCATCTTGGCCTTAAGGGAGTCTGCGTCCTTAAGGGTCTGGGCAAGCCTCTGCTCTGTTTTCCGGTTCATCTTCTGTAACTTCTCCAGGTCGGGAGACAGCTCGGAGAAGCGGGTCGCGAGGGCGGCTCCAGCGGCATTGGTCTGAGGGGAAGAAAAAAGAAGTTAGCACGCTACGCGATTTAGCCGAAGAACGGAGGCACAACTGGCCTAAGGGGTAGGGACTTACTCTGGACAGTGAAGTACACGTCCTGGAGCTCGGACGAGCTCGCCAGCTCCATCCACCTCCTGTCGCGCTGGAGGACCGAGCCCGTGACCAGCTCGCGAGCCACATAGGGGGGGCTCGGTCGTTGATGGATAGCCCCCAGGATGGACAGAAGCGACGGGGGTCATGCATGGAGGGGCCTGGGCCGGCTTCACAGGGGCGACGTGGCGGAAGTGCCACGGATTGGGGGGCGGCATCTCCCGCGCGTTCTCCTCTGCGGAGCCGACCCCCAAGTGGACCGGACCCGCATGAGGGGCGCCCCCGACGTCAGCAAGAGAGGGGCTGTGCTGGAAAGGACGCGGGCCTCTTCTCGAGCTGGGGGGCTTCATCCCCTCGACCCCTCTTTTGCCCAGCCGCTTTCTTCTTACTGGCGACCTGCTTGGAGGAGGAGTGAAATGCCTCCTTCTGGGGGCCCGAGCTGCCCCCAGGAGTCGAGGAGGCCTTCTTGGCGGCCTCCTGCTGCGGAGTCGGGGCGTTCGGCTCGGAAGGCGTGCCCAGCAGCTTTGAGAGCCTCCTCACTGCAGCAAACACCACAAGGTCAGTAAATGTAGGTCAGTAAGAAAGAAGGAAGCAATAGACTACAGGAGCCTAGAGGCGGCATTACAAGTATCGTAGTCGGTGGGGGAGGGCTCCATTCTCCAGGGGACCCGGACAACGTCCCCATCAGCCCGGCCACAGAAATCTGCCTCGGTGGAGAACCTGGCAGCATAGAGCTTCACCTTGGAGCTTACCAGTTGGCCGAGGGTTTCGGAGTCCAGATCCTCCGGATAGGGGTCGGAGTCGACCTCCCCGACCTTCCACACATTAGGGGGAAAGCTCGTGGACTTAACAAAGAAGAAGTCCCCTTTCCAGTTCTTTATGGAAGAGGGGACCCCGAAGAGCAAATCCTAGGTGCCCTTTCCTCCCCGACCTTTGCTAGTGGTTTGGCGGGAGAAGTAGTACCACTCGGAAGGGAGAGCTTGAGGTGTAGGAGGCTCGGAAGAGAGAAAGAGAATAGGGGATGTAGCGGATTTGGCAGTAGATCAGAAACCCAACGATGATCCTGATCGAATTGGGTGGATCTGGGTGATCCTGAGCCCCCAGTAGCTCAGGATCTCGGCCAGGGCTGGAGGAATTGGGAGACGGAGCCCTGCGACCAACTGCTCCCTATAGATGACTACGAAGCTTGGGGGAGATCGGCTAGCTCGGTCGCTGGGTCCGGCAGACCTCGGTTCGAAAGCGGGAGGAATGGAAAAGGACCCGGCCAGCTCGGCTACCTCCTCAGGTGAGAGGGTGACCTCTTGCTGATCAGGTTGACCATAGTCGAACTCAGGGTCATCCCCTACTCGGAGGCAGGAGTTCCCCTGGAGAAGTCCCTGTCCTCACTTGCCCCCCCTGAGCTCCGCCAGGGGAGTCATGTGGAGACTTGGGAGAGGGAACGGAAGTGGCCTGCTGCTCAATGAAGGCATCGAGCTCGGCCGCCTCCTCCAGGATTCGGGCAGAAGGAGAGTGGGCAGATGGAGAGCTCACGACGACTATGGGCTCAAGCAAGTCAGGAATGGGGAAGCTAGAATTAGAAGCAGAAGAGGAAGAATGGGGAGGAGGGGGAGATGAAGACGAAGATGAAGAGAAAATAAGGATCCTAAGGGCTCTGCGATGGGCAGGAATCCGAGAGGCGGTGGAAGTAACGCCGGACCGATCCGACATAAAAAACAGAAGATGGCAGAGGGAAAAAGGAGAGCAAGGAAGAAGGGAAAAGAACTTACTGATGAACGAAATGGGAAAAATGAAGCAACCGCCGGAATATGGACACGGAGAGTCGGAAGTCTTGCCGTTGGAATTTTAGAGAATGAGGAAATGCACGAAGAGAAGAAAATGGCAAAGGGAGTCGGAGGAAATCTGGAAGCCCCTATTTATAGGGAAGGGAATGGGGGGAAAACGGTTGCTTGAATTTGAACCGTCCCATGTGAATGCATTTAAGAGCGTTACGAAGACTGAAGAGACGCAACAACTGAAAGGATGCGGGCGCAGCTTTTCAGTGACAGCAGTGTACCGGAGGTGACCATGGCAGAGCGGTGCTGCGCTGGGCTCCCACGTGGCAGGAGTGTAGATTAGGTCTGCCATGAGACCCTACCTAATCTAGGGGGCTAGTGCAGGGGCCCCGTTCTGGATCTAGAGACGTGGCAGCCCAGGAGGGTCAGAGTTGGGCCTGGACCCCCGGGCCCCTGACAACCATCCTGGGGCACACCGCCACTAGGGCTCCGAAAGGCTCCGGGAAACAATCCCGCAGAGGGCGGGGAGAATCCCCTTCAGCGCGGGATTGAAGCTAATATTGGTAAGTGACGGGTTTTTTACATACGTGCAAGCTAAAAAATACCGAATTACACCGTTCACTGCAAGTATACAGATCAACTATAGTTTAGGGTATATATCGGGTCGATCCACAAGGAAGAGTGAACAATTACCGGTACTACTAAAACTTCTCTATTATTTAGACTATCAATGAATTATAACAAATTTTACCTACTCATTATACAAAATAACAAATAAAAGCTCCTTAGGTTGTGGTATCCCTAACTACTCATGCAAGTGTTATATTTGGATCATTTAGTACTACATCTAGGCTAGTTATGGTGTAATTTCCTTATGCATTTGAATCCTACTTTCGTAGTGAATCGATTATACTAATAACCAATCCATACCTATTCTCATGGTTATGAAATTAGTTACAAGTTCATTTCTTCAATGAAATTACATGAAATTAATCACCAAAACCCATAGGTGCACCTCTACTCTCGTGAGTGTACTCCCCATGTTTAACACTTATTGAACTAATGTTAAATCTCAATTTCATTGCAGAAATAACACCTTAGATAATCACAATTAATGGTACCAGATTAATCATGATTTAAAGAGCTAAAGTGCTAAATAACTTGCTCAAATCATAGCAGTTAAATAGCCAAATGATAAACACTAACAATCATAGAAAGTTCAACCAAACCCAAGGTATAAACTTTAAAAGACACATATCAAATATAAAATCCAAAACTTGCATATTAACTAAATTTGGAATCAAGTACAAAAAAAAGAGTTGGAAAGGAATGTAACCCATGTCACTTGAGCTCATCACCTTGCCTTCTTCATCTCCATCTTAATCCTAGTCTAGCAATATACAAGAATGGATGAACTACACTAGCTAAACTATACTACACTAATCTGATACTAACAGAATGGAAAAACTACATTTCTGCACTTCCCCCCTGTTCCCCGTATGTCTCAATGTCCTGCATATAAGCTGATGAAAAGTCCTTTCCTTACCAGTCAAAAATTTCTGCTATGATTCTCCAATCTCATTTTGTTAAGATAGTCAAAAACCATTGTTTTTGACTTGAAAATAAGCCACCTTGTCTGCCCTTTTGTCTTCTGAGGCATGTGCACCGAATTCTCTTGCAGATTGTAGCTGAAAGTAGTTTGAAC